TCCGGCGGAAGCTGGTCGTAACCCGAAATGTTCGTTAGTAGAGGCGTTCATATCCCGAGGTACCACTGTACTGTCATGTATCCTAACAATTGCGGATGTCCTTTTTCTCCCTCTGGTTCTTCAGAATTAAAGCATTATTTAATTAAAATAATTAATTACCAAGTGGATGAAATACTATTTTTGATGCCCCTTGTGCCTACATATACTACTTGCTTGCTGAGAAAGTAGTTACAAATCTAGATACATCATTATCTTTTCGTAATCTGGCAACTGCTAGAATAACATTTGATTTATTTATTAATGAGTGGCATCCACTTAAAAATGGAGCCAACAGCTGACTTCCACAGCTATTCTCAAACATCAGGATTTATTAAAGGACACATTTACACTGAAGAGATCTGTCAATATAAAATAAATGAATTACAGTACTTCAGGGAAGATAAGGCTATTAATGGCTCTAGTCATGATGACCAGACATTGACGAATATATCAGCAACCTGCCTCTTAATATCAGTTGCTACGGATCACAAGCTGATAGTACTATTATAATCTGTTCTGCCTGTGGGCTTCTCACAGGCATCTGCACACCAGCAGGAATGGAACGCTGGACCGATAGCCAGGCATAGCATGTATCTTTTTTTGGACATTACCCACGTAAGTTTCTCTCTCCAAAAAACAAACAACTGGTAAGTACATGGGTCTTATCAACATACAGCAGGAGGGATTTCCAAAGAGATACCAAACCCTTTATTATCAAGGGTAACTTTAAAATTCTGAACATGATATCCATGCACAGTAGTATGTCAAACAGAAATGCTAAGGTCCCATGATTGGATATAGGTTACAACTGTAATGTACACTAAGAGGTTACTCCTTACAATGCAGGTGTACAAGAACAGTGATTCAGAAGGACTCAAGATTTCTTAAAATATATATATTCCACTCTATTCCTTATCTCATTGTTCAAGGGTCTTATATATCCTTTTTAAAAATGGAATATGGTCAATTCACACACACAAGCTTAAAACACTTCCAACAATGGATTCCTAATTTTCAAATCAAGTAAAGCTTCAAAAATTTCCATGATCACTGAGTGCAGGAAATTCCAAACACTGCAGCATACGCATTTCCCCCTTTCATTCAAAACTATGCAGCATGTGTTTATATTACTGAGTGTAAACAAAAAATTTTATAAATCTGAATGCTGGTACGTTAAAAGTCTTCCACTATGCAAAGAATATTAGAGGACTTCTGGTATATATTTGCTGTAATTTCTTTGTTGTGAAACAAAGTAGTATTGGATATCTTTCTAATCTGATACTTTTCTAGGTACAGACTTAACATTTATGTTTTGACCCAGAACCTTTAGAGGATTTTCTGTATGTGAATATATGTGAATAAGTATGCGTGGGCAGCACATAAATTGATAAAAACAAAATAAAATAAAATAAGATTTTATAAATTAGCTCTGGCTGATACTTATGGAATCTAATACTTTTAATGTTTTTCTAATTATTTTCCCATTGTGTGACTCTAACTCCTATTTGTGCATTTACAGATGATGATTTATACTTTTCTTCTTTCTCAACCACTTGATTTCTTTGTCACTAAGAAAAATGTTTACTGAATCCTGAAGAAAACTGCTGACTGGCAAATATCTAGCTTTTTACTTGTATCTTTAATAATATTTATTCAAATCTGAATAAGTACAAATTGTTCTCTTCAGAAATCAGTACCCTAGCCAGAAGATAATCTGTGAACAGCAATTCACCCTCAGTGCTGATACTGCTGATCTAGCCCCACACATCACATGCTATCATGCTTACCTTTGAGCACTATTTTCACATGTGTATTAAAAAACACCATTACTTCTATGGAGATAAATTATCTGGCCCTTGTAAAATATATCAGTTGCAGCAAAATTTAATAGTAATGACACATGATATTGTTTTGTTTCTTTGTCCTATACACAGCAAGACTTACACGTGAGCCCATGTGCCTGACGACATCTCGAGGCACCACTGATCTGTCTTCGAGCTTCAACTACGGTGAGAAAAAGAAAGGGAAGGTAATCAGTATTAATTCTAACCATGCTTGACTACATGAACAGCTAGTATCAATAATGAAGATTAGTGATTTTAAAAAAAAAATTATATACAGATAACACATTCCTTCAAAATCTTATCATTAGATGTAACAGCAATGAATACATAATGAAGTTTACAATCATACAGTACAATTTTTGCATCTCTACTTGGAATCCAACAAGAATATAATTATTCTATTATATTTGTACTTTGTCATTCCTCAAAGGAGCTCAGGCTTACTCCAATAGGTTCCTGGAGTATCTTCCACTGAGATACTTAAGAAGACCTATCTTGCTTACTGCCAGAATCAGACTACACAACATGTGCTTAAACTGTTCTTTCATCAGTAGCCCGAGTATCATCATTAATAGCTGTTACAATACCATATAATCACTGCAGTGGAGATGCCATACAAACTTACCTTCCTTCAGAATAGCATGTGCTATCCGGATTACTGTAATGGAAGGGTAAGTATTCTTACATCTGCAAGGGCTTTGGTGCACAAAAGAGTGCAGTCACATAGCCAGCAGTATCTGACAGTGATAACGAAATGGGGACTTTTGCATATAAATATGTGTATACCTCCTTGATAGGGTATGTAATGCCTCTGTTTTTGGGTGGTCTCTGGAACAGTACTATCTCTCCATCCTCTGGTACCAATATTAAAATATAAATGGCAAGACATTTCCAGAATGGAAAAAGAAGAAGAAGTAAAAGGCAAGTACTTACATTATTAATAACCTGTCATACCGGAAAATAGATCTGAGAACATAGTTTACAAATGCCATTTATTTATACCCAGTAACTTATACTGTATATGCTTCCCAGTATTGTGTCTGAATAAAGGTTCATAATCAAATAAAGCAGCTGTGATAGCACTAAAAAGCATTTTTAGACAGTTATCTTCCCCACAAAATTGCGTTCTGTGAAAATCAGTATTACGATACAATTCTACATTCCGTTTCTACATACTCTGATGAACACATGCAGGAATGTGAAATTGCTGTTTCACCTCCCAAACTTGAGCATTGTTGGCATACAAGCATTCTGTACTACTATGCTAATTTTCTGGTCCTAGACAGGCAACAAGTTTGCTTTGCATCTCTTCTGACACTTTTGTATACTCTTTTTCACTTCACTAAAAATCTTTATTTAGAAAGGTCCAATTTTACCTTGGCAGAGCAATACTTGTCTGCAACTAAGGCCAGCAATTGTTTATTGTGAGAGAAATAGAACTATCTTATTACACTAAACAGCCTCCTGGCAATTTCGAGATATTCTACTGCCCGATTTTAAATAATGTGTAAGTATAAGTGCAAACTTTCAAGTATCTTAGAATATACTAGTATTAATTTATACAATGTATTGTGAAGGTATGCTGATGAGAAAGAAACCTGTAACATTAAGTATCAGAAATATTCTCTAAATTGGGAATGGACAATTTATATCTTATAGAGCTATTCTTCAGACAACATACTATGAGCTAGTGATCTGAAGTAAACCCTCAATTTAGGGGGCCTCAGATACCACAGGCAAAATTTAATTCCAGACCCCACCACAAAAAACAATAAAATCTACTGTATTCAAAAAAGTCCAGATAGTTTAGGTAAACTAACAACTTTGTGTCAGTTTATATCATTTGTATAATGATGTCATTACAAATATCATGAATGGCATAAATTGATGCAAAAGATGTAAAGTTACATTGTTCATGGACTTAACAGACATTCCAGTTTAACATGCTTAACAGTTTAACCTTCCCTGAATGGTTCATTAAACCAAGGGTTTACTTTATTTGCAGGAAAACAGCTCTTCTTATATAGCTAATATCTATTAAAAATTATATTGCTTCTCTTTCCAAGACCAACCAAAGTGACTAATATAAAATAAATAAATCTGATAAACAGTTTCCAAAGGACTGCCAAAATAATCCTGGTACAGCAACTCAGATAATGCAGTATTATCAGCCTACATCAAAACTCTGTTGTTATACTGATGAAAGTGTGACAATGAAGAGCCCAAATGTGGCTACTTGGATAATCATTACATTATGTTCAAGTTACAACTGAAAATGTTCTAACAGGTTCAGGATTTTTAAACACTCTAGTAGGAGCAAACTACCGTTATAATATGCATGAGGCTCTAAAAACTTTGGCTGCATCCCCTAATTTCCTCCAAAAATTGATAACAAATTGTTTTGGCCCATCCATGTCTTTGTTTTGGCATTTGTTGGAATGCTACACACCTCTTGCCCTGCTAAGTGCAGTCCTCAGTCAGAAAAGGTAGCGCAGGCGTTCAAGATTTGAATTTTGCCAGTAAAATCACCAATGAGGACACAAAGAACCAAAGTAACATATTCCAGCTAGCCTCACCCAGTCCAGCAGAAGCTTTTAAACACAGGAAGACGTGCACTACTGGAACAATATTTCATCACATTGCTATGTCATGGACTTCTCTAACTCAGAAATTGAGGGGCCTGATCCAGCAAGTTGTCAGCCTCATTAATCTGCAATTAATCAACCACTTGAGGCTGACTCAACAGATAATCAGCAGGAGCAGATGTGGGAGGAGTCAAGTGACAATAGGCTAGCACCTGACCAGGTACCCAGCTGCAGGATATGTCAGCAGATTTGGAGAATCAAACAAAGGAGCTCCACTTAACTCCTCAACAAGCAAAAAGTCTGTAATGGAGCCGCTCTTGCATCTGGCTGCTTTTTGCTTTTTAATTAACAACAAAAAGAAGAGAAACAAAACACAAAAATGATAATACACTATCAAGAAGAAAAAAACATTAAAAAGTGCTATTACAAAAAAGTAACAAAAATACAACAAAGGAAATAAAAACTTAGCATAGTGTATCATTATAACAGTAAATAGTTACAAATTTATATATATTTATCTCATGCAAAAATTATTCAGATGCATATCCATTTCCAATACATTTATGTGACTATCGTTTTTTTAACCTACTGTATTTTGTATAAATGAGTCCCATATTTCATTATATTTGTCCATACAAAGTCTATGTCTATAGGCAATTTCATTATATTTGTCCATACAAAGTCTATGTCTATAGGCAATTTCATTATATTTGTCCATACAAAGTCTATGTCTATAGGCAATTTCATTATATTTGTCCATACAAAGTCTATGTCTATAGGCAATCCACTCATAAGTGGCAAGTGCAATCAGGTGTTCAATCGATTGAATAAATGGGCCCATGCATTTATCTTTCAAACGCTGCAGTATCAGTCTTTTGGCCATAATAAGGGCACAGAGAATCCATTTATGTTGTCCAGATGTCAAATTCCATGTATTAGACATATAGTTCAAAAGAATATTATCCTCTGAAAATTTTAGCTTTTGTTGCACAATCATATAATCATATATCATGCATAATCATATGGTTTTTATTGTATTTTTATACTATTTTTAATGTATTAATATTCATTTTTTGTATTTATTGTAAACCACCCAGAGTCACTTCCTAGTGAGATGGGCAGTGTCCAAATTTGAAATATATACAGCATATATAGATAGATAGTCCGCTACTTTCTCCCAAAACTTAGTAAGTATAGGACACTGTAAAAACATATGCTTTAAAGAGACACTGTCCTTATTACATCTCCAACAAAACGCTGTTTTTGACAACCCTTTTCTATACAAACATAATGGAGTCCAATAACTGCTAAATACTATTTTTTGTTGTATAAGTCGTAGTTTAAGGTCCATTGACATTCTTGCTATAGAAATTAAAACACTCTCTAATTGTCTAGGCAATATAGAAACCTCTAATTTTTTATTCCACTCATCCCTTAACATCTGTATATCAAATTGATTCATTGATAACAAATATGTATAAAAGCTAATAGTAGGTTTTTTAGTTCTAAAAGATTTAACAAACTGTTCTAGCAACGCAGGTGTCTCGAAAGCTGAAAATGCTATTGGTCCAAACAATGTTGTTAACAAATGTTGTAGCTATAAATATTGCCATTGGGTTACATTTGACAGATAAAATTTATCTGTTAACACATTATATCTCTTAAAAATTCATCTTCATCATCTATCAATTGGTTCAAAGTCAATATCTCTGCTTTCATCCAATTTTTCCATATCACCACCTTTCCCCCAATTTTTAATGTTGGGTTTCCCCATAAAGTCAATTTAGCATGGGAAAAGAGGTCAAATCTTTTTTTAATTAGACATTACATTCCATAGCTTTCTGACATAATTGTTTCCAGAGATATCAGAGTTCTACTGCATTTAGATCCTAATACTGTCCATCCAACCAAAGGTGTGATATATGTATATTCCAACATTCCCCAAATTGTAAAATTAACACCAATTGTTGCCTTCCACTATTTAATACTTGACAATAGGTAAGCTTGATGATATAGCTCCATATTCAGAAAACTGAATCCTGCATCTGTCTGACTTAAGAATAATGATGGCCCCTCAGTTGGAAACAACTCATCACCCTCAGATCTACATTTCTGTGTTCCTTGCTTCTTGCTCTGCTCCTTGACTTGGCTTTTCGACTCAGACTGGCTGACTAAGCTCCTTGATGCTTGATTCAGGAACTGTTGTGGAGCCTCTCTGCTATTGCAATGTCCTGTTCCTCTGAGCCTGTGCTCTGTTTGTTGACTATAGCTGGACTCTGGGCTGAACTTTAAACTGTCAGTGTTGTGCCCAGCAATCAGGCAAGAATGATCAAGTGGGTTTTATCAAAACTGAGCACACATCAGATAATATTTGGCTAGTAGATTTGATTGATCTGAATAAAAATAAGAAAGCTGCAATTTGATTAATAAATGTAGAAAAAGCGTTTGATAAAATTTACAGAAAATACATGTGTATTACCTTAACAAAATGTGGATTTCCTAGAGGATTTATAAACTGGGACTAAATTCTCTATGAAATTCCCAAATCCAAAGTGAAAGTTAATGATATTTTTTC